CGAGCCAAATGATTGATCATCAAATAGGTATTACCATCTTAAACGTCGATGATTTAATATTTTAATGTTTATTTGTTGTAGTTATCCAATGATATTATGTTCCAATAATATCCTTTAGTGCGTATCTAGCATTCACACCACTCTTTTCCTTAAAAAGCCTATATTGTTGGGTTGAAAATGGGCGATAAAGTCTTGATTTCCCTTCTCCAACAATCTCACTCGGTGCATATATTTCTTTATCATCATCTTCGGTTGTCAAAAAGAAAGCCATAGAGAATCGCTTCATATTATTTTTCCTTAACACAACTCTATGTACGGCAGATCTTAGCCTCCCATTGCTCCAAGCCTCCATAAAATCACCAATGTTCACCATGAGATTATCGTCCTCGCTTGGCCTTGGCCTTACGTCCATCCAGTCTCCTCCTTTCAATCTCATTTGTAGCCCTCTAATGTCATTTTGGAACACTATCGTCACATAGCTTAGGTCAGTGTGCTTCTTGAACACTTCGAGTTCTTCTTCTTCTTCTTCTTCTTCATTCATGCTTCGAGGAGTGAAGCCGTTTATTCTTAGGTAGGCATTGCAGTTGCTGAACTCGGAATCATAGAATTTGTCTTCAATATTATCCCCCAAGATGTTTAGTAATAACTTCACTACTCTTTTCGATACTTCTTTCATTTTGCTTCCATATTCGTCTAGAAGATTGCTGCAAATAAACTCGAACATACAAACTCCAAATAAAGAAGAAGACGAAAAATGATTGATTATTATATTCTTTCACTCATTAATATATTGAACACAAAATTAAAAATTTAGAATTTTAGTGAACACTTCGAATCTTTAGGAACTTAACTCTAGTACTCAAATCTAAAAATTTCAAGAAGTTATCTTATATCTTAATCTATCTTTAAATTATTCAAAATTAAGCATATCGGGTAGTGTTTTAGGAATTAATCTCTATGAAAAACTCCTTAAAAGTACAAAAAGTACAAAAATTTAATAGTTTATCTAAAACCTCACAAATTTAAATTAAGTCATAGATCCAACGGTATAGCACTCATAATGTATAAACTTCTTCGAATAATTTCTCTTAAAATCGTTAAATATGTGAGAAAAATAAATAAATACTTTAAATTTGTATTCGGTGGTTATTAGAAGACATTAAGATTTCAATAGCTAACATTCTTAGAAGAAGAAAGGAAGAAAGAAAGATGACCTGAATTCAGTGGCTTGGTGCCCGAATAGGGATTGAGTGAAACCCTGCGCAGCAGCAGAGGCTGAGAAGTTGGGTCCCGAAACCTTGAAGCTTTCAAAGAAAGGCGACACCACAAATCTCGGGGTGTACGAGGAAGCTCCCATTGTCAACTTTTGCTTGGTTTCCTCTGGTGAAGAAAAAAGTTGGTCGGCGCCGGATATGAGTTTCTGGTAGAGCTCCTTTGAAAGACCATGGTTTCTAATGAAGAAGAATCCGAATTCGTTGCACGCTCTAAGTAGAGAAGATGCAGCGGATTCGGTCAAGCTCTGACAGCTAATGTCTATCACTGGAATTTCCTCTATCGACATATTGTGCAATACGTCTTCTTAAAATATGACATTTATGTTTTATTATATATGTTAAACGAACACGACTCTCCACAATGGTATGATATTGTCTACTTTGAGCATAAGCTCTCATGGCTTTGCTTTGGGCTTCCCCAAAAGGCCTCATACCAATGGAGTTAGTATTCCTCACTTATAAACCCATGATCACACCCTAAATTAGTCGATGTGGGACTTCCATCATCCAACAATGTAGACATCAATTTGTTTCGGGTGACCCTCTCGAAAAAATATCCATTTAAACAGGGAATGAAGAAGTGAGCAGGAAAAGATTTCTTCTCGTTAAATAAATGAGGCCGGGGATAGGGATTGTATTCCTCGTCCTCGTCCCCGTCCTGTAGACATCTCAATTTTTTTTTATTATAAAATATAAGTATAATTTCACGGGGTTGAATTAATCAGATTTTCGAGTCATTAGATTTTATGACCTTAGAGTTCCCGTAATTGAGTCATGAAAAAGAAAATTGCACTTTCTTAGTATAGCCAGTAACTTTCAATTCTTTTAAATCTTTCTTAGTCATCCTATCTTTAGGATCGTTCTCATTTACATACGGTCTCGAATTATTCATGTACCTCTTTTTTGTTCGGGTATCACGCTAGGTATCTTTTTCTTACACGCAAGTATAAGAAATAAAATAAATTATAAAAGAAAAAAAAAAAGAAAGAAAGAAAGAAAGAAAAACAATTCCAAGTAATTTATATAAAAAAAAATTAGGTCAATGAATAGTTCCAAATTAATTTCAAGCCATAAATATAAGTTGAATAATTCTTAGTAATAAATGAAACAATTTATTATAATTAATACAAAAACTATTATATTTATCTCTTATTTAATTACTTTAATAAACACTTAATTGCATTATTTAATATATTTTATTATTGAAAAAGAATTACCTATACATTTCAATCTATTAAGTGCAAATTTATATAACATAATTTCCAATTAATTAGAATGTGGACTTATTTAAATTAAATTTGGGATAAAATTGCACAACTCGTCTCTAAATTATTCGTTTTTATCTGATAAAAATTTTAACATAAAAAATATTTAATAAATCTCTAAACTTTTAAATTTATATTAACGAAAATTAACTAATTCATATATGTAAATTTGTCAGGACTAATTAAAATTTTATAAATGTATTAAATATAAAATTGAAATAATAGAGACCAATTAAACAATTTATTTGGAGAAGGATCTATCAGACACAAAATTATTTATGTCAGGGACCTATTAGATACAAAATTGAAAGATAAAGACCTATTAGATAATTTCTAAAAATAGGGATCACCGGCTAAAAGTTAGAGGTAGAGGAGATTGAATTTGAGTTGCAAGGAGCTGTTTTGAAAAAAAAAAAAATCAAGAATTTAATCTCCAAAATTCTATGTTGTTTCTAGATAATAAAGTAGGATTTTTCACTGTGTTCGTAGGACATTGAGCTTCACCTTTAGTGAAGAAACCTAGATGGGCAGAAGCCAAAATGTTCATATTAGTCTATAGCGATCGGTGGATTGAGCCTTTCAAAAAGCGAGGCGTTACACTTTATACAAAGTAAAAAAGCTAATTAATAAAAAATATTAATTTTATACTGATGCCATCACAAGTCGATTATCTAGTGTATATTTCAGTACATCATAAGATAGTTATTTACGACCCAAATACCGATAATTTAATATTTTAATGTTTATTTGTTGTAGTCGAATCGAAAGAGATAATCCAATGACATCATATTCCAACAAAATCCTTAATCGTGGCTCCAACTTTCTCGTAATTGTTTTCCCTAAAATGCTTATATTGTTGGGTTGAAAACGAGCGGTAAAGTCTTGATTTCCCTTCTCCAACAACCTCACTCGGGGCGTGTATTTCTCTAGATTCATCTTTAGGTGTCGATGTGTAAACGATAGAGAATCTTTTCATATTATTTTTCCTCAAAACGACTCAATGTATGGCAGATCTCAGCCTCCCATTGCTCCAAGCCTCCAATAAATCTCCAATGTTCACCACAAGAATACCGTCCTCGCTTGGCTTTACGTCGATTTGGGAACACTATCGTCACATAGCTGATGTCGGTGTGCTTCTTGAACACTTGAACTTCTTCGTCGTCATTCACGCCAAGAGGAGTGTAGCTGTTTATTCTTAGGTAGCCATTACAGTTGCTGAACTCGGGATCATAGAATTTGTTTTCAATATTATCTCCCAAGATATTTAGTAATAGCTTCAGTACTCTTTTCGATATATCTGTCATTTTGCTTCCATATTCGTCTAGAAGATTGCTGCAAATAAACTCAAACATCCAAACACAAATTAATGTCTAAATAAAGAAGATAATGATAGAACAATCGTATAAAATAAAGCCTATAGTTAAGAATTGCGCAGATTTTAATAGCGATTAAAGCAAACATTTTTAAGGAGATGACAACCCGAATTCAGTAGCTTGGTGGCCAAATAGGGATTGAGTGAAACCCAGCGCAGCAATAGAGGCCGGGAAGTTGGGTCCTGAAACCCTGAAGCTCTCAAAGAAAGGCGACACCACAAATCTCGGGGTATACGAGGAAACTCCCATTATCAGTTTTTGCTTGGTCTCCTCGGGAGAAGAAAAAAGCTCATCAGCGCCGGAGATGAGTTTCTCGTAAAACTCCTTTGAAACGCCATGGTTTCTGATGAAGAAGAATCCCAATTCGTTGCACGCTCTAAGTAGAGAAGATGCAGTCGATTCGGTCAAGCTCTTACTACCAAGGTCTATCACTGGAACTTCTTCTATCGACATATTCTGCAATATGAATAAACTCTACAATTTTGGAAACAAACACGAATATGACCTTTTTCCAATTTTGTTGGAGTGTTGTTCCTTAAATAATGTTCTTTTCAATGGTTGCGGACTATGGTGTAGTAAAAATATTCTACTTTTTTATTCATACCTTAATTTGAACATATTAAAGGAATAGTCCCATGTTAGGTGGGGATAAAACTTAAAATGTATTATATTCCCAAAAAAAAAAAAAAAATAATAATAATAATAATAAAAATAAAAAATAAAAATACCAAGTATTAATTAAAAAATAAGCTAATGAATAATTCAAAATTAATGTCCAGCCATTAATGTAAGTTAATTAAATCTATGCAATATATGAAATAATTTATAATAATTCATTCAAATTATTTTAGAAAATTAAAATCAATCAATTAAATTTATTTATTTCTTATTAAATATTTAATAATTCATTTGAATATTAAAATAAATCAATTAAAAAAGAATTGGGTATCAGCAAATTTATTTAACCTAATTTCCGATTAATTAGAATGTGAACTTATTTAAATTAAATATGGGATAAAATTGCACATTAGTCTATAATTAATAATAAAAAAAACTAATTAATAAAAAATATTAATTTTATACTGACGCATCACAAATCAATTTCAGTATATATTCCAGTACATCATAAGATAGTTATTTACGACCCAAATATCGATAATTTAATATTTTTAATGTTTATTTGTTGGAGTCGAATCGGACAGAGATAATCCAACGACATCATATTCCAACAAAATCCTTAATGGTGGCTCCAACTTTCTTGTAATTGTTTTCCCTAAAATGCTTATATTGTTGGATTGAAAACGAGCGGTAAAGTCTGGATTTCCCTTCTCCAACGACCTCACTCGGTGCATATATTTCTCTAGATTCATCTTCCGGTGTCGATAAGAAAGCGATAGAGAATCTCTTCGTAATATTTTTCCTTAAAACAACTCTATGTAAGGCAGATCTCAGCCTTCCATTACTCCAAGCCTCCATATAATCTCCAATGTTCACCACAAGATTACCGTCCTCGCTCGGCCTTACATTAATCCAGTCGCCTCCTTTCGATCTCATTTGTAGCCCCCTCATGTCATTTGGGAACACTATCGTCGCGTAGCTGAGGTCGGTGTGCTTCTTGAACACTTCGACTTCTTCTTCGTCATTCATGCCTAGAGGAGTGTAGCTGTTTATTCTTAGGTAGCTAGTGCAGTTGCTGAATTCGGGATCATAGAATTTATTTTCAATATTATCCCCCAAGATCTTCAGTAACAGCTTCACTACTTTTTTCGATACTTCTGTCATTTTGCTTCCATATTCGTCTAGAAGATTGCTGCAAATAAACTCGAACATACAAACTCAAAATAAAGAAGAAGATGATGAAAATGGTTGATTGTTATATTCTTTCTTGGATATATCGAAACACAACATTCAAAAGTTGTAGCTCTATTGGAGATAAATTTAAGAAAGATGACCTAAATTCAGTAGCTTGGTGGCCGAATTGGGATTGAGTGAAACCGTGCGCAACAGCAGAGGCTGAAAACTTGGGTCCTGAAAGCTTGAAGCTCTCCAAAAAAGGCGACACCACAAATCTCGGGGTGTATGAGGAAACTCCTTGTTTCAGCTTTTGCTTGGTCTCCTCGGGAGAAGAAAAAAGCTGGTCGATGCCGGAAATGAGTTTCTGGTAAAACTCCTTCGAAATGCCATGATTTTTTATGAAGAAAAATCCCAATTCAGTGCACGCTCTGGATAGAGAAGATGCAGTCGATTCGGTCAAGGTTTGGGAGCTAATGTCTATCACGGGAACTTCCTCTATCGACATATTGTGCTATACTTACAAACCCTATGATTTTGGAACCAAACAAGAATATGATATTTTTCAATTTGGTTGGGTTGTTGTTCCTTAAATAATGTTCTTTTCCATGGTTACATACACCATTGTGTCTTAATTCTACTTTCTTGTCTTACCTCTTTGATGGGACATTTATGTTTTCTTTTATAGATGTCAATTTATTTTGAGGGACCGTTTCAAATCAGGCTAAGAATCTCCATTTAAACGGGAATGAAAAAGTGAGTGTGAAGAGATTTCTTCTCGTTAAATAAAGGGGGCCTGAAACAGGAATTGTATTCCTCGTCCTCTTCCCCTCTCCACCTAATTCTCCGTCTCCGTCCCCACCTAATTTTACCATTACATTTACATAACTTCATACGAGTTCGAATGGGTCATCATTTGATTTCAATTTATTCTACTTTCTTGGGCTAATAAAGCTCGAATGGAGATCTTATAATTGACCCATCGAAAAAGAAGTTGCACATTGTTGATATAGGCACTGACTTTCAATTTTTTTTAAGCATTTCTTAGTCATTTTAACCTTAGGATCGCTCTCATTCAGATATAGTCTCGGACCATTTATGTACCTCTCTTTTACTCCCGTGTCACATTACGTACCTTTTTCCTACACCCATTATAAAAAAAATTTCAAAATTGGTTAACGCAAAATTAATTTCAAATTAATTCAGAGTAATAAATGAAAAAATTTATTATAATTTATACAAAAACTATTATATTTATCTATTATTTAATAACTTTAATAAACACTTTATTGCATTATTTAATATATTTTATTATTGAAAATGAATTACGTATACATTTCAATCTATCAATTAATTAGTGCAAATTTATTTAACATAATTACCAATTAATTAGAATATGAACTTATTTAAATTAAATATTAGATAAAATTAGTCTCTAAATTATTCGTTTTTATCTAATAAAAAATTTAACATAAAAAATGTTTAATAAATTAAATTATGAAACTTTCAATTTTATGTAATTTTTTTTAAAAAAAATACTGAATTTGTCCGTGACTAATTAAAATTTTATAGACTTATTAAATATAAAAATGAAATAATAAAGATGGATTAAACCATTTATTTAGATTAGAGACTTATCAGACACAAAATTATTTATGTCAGGTCCGATACAAAATTGAAGGATAAAGACCAATTAGACAATTTCTAAAAATAGGGATCAACGGCCGAAAGCTAGAGGTCGAGGAGATTGAATTTGAATTGCAAGGAGCTGTTTTGAACCAAAAAATCGATGATTTAGTCTCCAAAATTCTATGTCGTTTCTAAATAATAAGGCCGGATTTTTCACTCGTGTTTATAGGGCATCAAGCTCCACCTTTAGTGAAGAAACCTAGATGGACAGAAGCCAAAATGTTAATACTAGTTCATAGTGACCGGTGGATTGAATCTTTCAAAAAGCGGGTCATTACGATTTAGAAAAAGTAAAGAAAACTAATTAATCGAAGATATTAACTTTATACTTATGCCATCACAAGTTAATTACCGTGTATATTCGGTACATCATAAGATAGTTATTTGTGACTCAAATAACGATAATTTAATATTTTTAATCTTTATTTATTTATGTCGGATCGAAAGAGATAATCGAACAATATTATATTCCAACAAAATCTTTAATTGTTTCTCCAATTTTCTCATAATTCTTATTCCTAAAATCCTTATATTGTTGGGTTGAAAACGGGCGATAAAGCCTTGATTTCCCTTCTCCAACAACCTCACTCGGGGCGTGTATTTCTCTAGATTCATCTTCAGGTGTCGATGTGTAAACGATAGAGAATCTTTTCATATTATTTTTCCTCAAAACGACTCTATGTATGGCAGATCTCAGCCTCCCATTGCTCCAAGCCTCCAATAAATCTCCAATATTCACCACAAGAGTATCGTCCTCGCTTGGCATTGCGTCGATCCAGTCGCCTCCTTTCGATCTCATTTGTAGCCCCCTGATGTCATTTGGGAACACTATCGTCACATAGCTGACGTCGGTGTGCTTCTTGAATACTTCAACTTCTTCGTCGTCATTCATGCCAAGAGGAGTGTAGCCGTTTATTCTTAGGTAGCCATTACAGTTGCTGAACTCGGGATCATAGAATTTGTTTTCTATATTATCCCCCAAGATGTTTAGTAATAGCTTCAGTATTCTTTTCGATACTTCTGCCATTTTGCTTCCATATTCATCTAGAAGATTGCTGCAAATAAATTCGAACATACAAACTCCAAATCAAGAAGATGATGATGAATATGGTTGATTGTTATATTCTTTCATGAATATATCAGAACACAACATTCAAAAGCGGTAGCTCTACTGGAGATAAATTTAAGAAAGATGACCTGAATTCAGTAGCTTGGTGGCCGAATTGGGATTGAGTGACACCCTGTGCAGTAGAAGAGGCCGAGAAGTTGGGTCCTGAAAACTTGAAGGTCTCCAAGAAAGGCGAAATCACAAATCTTGGGGTGTACGAGGAAACTCCGTGTTTCAGCCTTTGCTTGGTCTCCTCGGGAGAAGAAAAAAGCAGGTCGATGCCAGAGATGAATTTCTGGTAAAACTCCTTTGAAATGCCATGATTTTTTATGAAGAAAAACCCCAATTCAGTGCACGCTCTAAATAGAGAAGATGCAGTCGATTCAGTCAAGCTCTGAGAGCTAATGTCTATCACGGGAACTTCCTCTATCGACATATTGTGCTATACTTACAAACTGTATGAACCAATCAAGAATATGATCGTTTCCAAGTAATTTATAGAAACGTGCCAATTCTTAGTAATAAATGAAACAATTTATTATAATTAATACAAAATCAATTATATTTATCTTTTATTTGATAACTTTAATAAACACTTATTGCATTATTTAATATTTTTTATTATTGAAAAAGAATTACATACATTTCAATCTTTCAATTAGTTAGTACAAATTTATTTAATATAATTACCGATTAATTAGAATGTGGACTTATTTAAATTAAATATGAGATAAAATTGCACATTAGTCTCTATAATTAATAATAAAAAAAATAAAAAATAAAAAACTAATTAATCAAAAATATTAATTTTATACTGATGCCAATTCCAGTGTATATTCCAGTATTTCATAAGATAGTTATTTACTACCCAAATATCGATAATTTAATATTTTTAATGTTTATTTGTTGTAGTCGAGTCGGAAGAGATAATCCAATGACATCATATTCCAACAAAATCCTTAATCGTGGCTCCAACTTTCTCGTAATTGTTTTCCCTAAAATGTTTATATTGTTGGATTGAAAACGAGCGGTAAAGTCTTGATTTCCCTTCTCCAACGACCTCATTCGGTGCATATATTTCTCTAGATTCATCTTCCGGTGTCGATAAGAAAGCGATAGAGAATCTCTTCGTAATATTTTTCCTTAAAACAACTCTATGTACGGCGGATCTCAGCCTCCCGTTGCTCCAAGCCTCCATATAATCTCCAATGTTCACTACAAGAATATCGTCCTCGCTCGACCTTACGTCGATCCAGTCGCCTCCTTTCGATCTCATTTGTAGCCCCCTCATGTCATTTGGGAACACTATCGTCACGTAGCTGAGGTCGGTGTGCTTCTTGAACACTTCAACTTCTTCTTCGGCATTCATGTCTAGAGGAGTGAAGCCGTTTATTCTTAGGTAGCCATTGCAGTTGCTAAACTCGGGATCATAGAATTTGTTTCCAAAATTATCTCCCAAGATGTTTAGTAATAGCTTCACTACTCTTTTCGATACTTCTTTCATTTTGCTTCCATATTCGTCTAGAAGATTGCTGCAAATAATCTCGAACATACAAACACAAATTAGTGTCTAAATAAAGAAGATAATGATAGAACAATCGTATAAAATAAAGCCCGTCGCGCAGATTTTAATAGCGATGAAAGCGAACATTTTTAAGGAGAAGACAACCTGAATTCAGTAGCATGGTGACCGAAGAGTGATTGAGTGAAACCCTGCGCAGCAGTAGAGGCTGAGAAGTTAGGTCCCGAAACCCTGAAGCTCTCAAAGAAAGGCGACACCACAAATCTCGGGGTGTACGAGGAAACTCCCATTTTCAGTTGTTGCTTGGTCTCCTCGGGGGAAGAAAAAAGCTCATCGGCGCCAGATATGAGTTTCTCGTAAAACTCCTTTGAAACGCCATGGTTTCTGATGAAGAAGAATCCCAATTCGTTGCACGTTCTAAGTAGAGAAGATGCAGTCGATTCAGTTAAGCTCTGACAACTAAGGTCTATCACTGGAACTTCTTTTATCGACATATTCTGTAATTTGAACAAACTCTACAATTTTGAAACCAAACACGAATGTAATCTTTTTCCAATTTTGTTGGAGTGTTGTTCCTTAAATAAGGTTCTTTTCAATGGTTGCGTACTTTTGTATAGCAAAATATTCTACTCTTTTATTCCTACTTTAATTTGAGCGTATTAAAAATTATTAGGAATAACTCCAAGAACAAAAAGAGTATTAATTAAAAAATAAGCTAAGGAATAATTTAAAATTAATTTCCAGTTATTAATATAAGTTAATTAAATCTATTCAATATATGAAATAATTTATAATAATTCATTCAAATTATTTTAGAAAATTAAAATCAATCAATTAAATTTATTTATTTCTTATTAAATATTTAATAATTTCAATAAATAAGTGTTTGCACGATTAATATATTTTATAATCGAAAATAGGTATATATTTTAATTATCAATTAATTACGGCTAAATTATTTATCATAAATACCAATTAATTGGAATGTGTAATTATTTGAATTAAATGAGTTGAAAATGGTATATTTAATTAGTTCGTCACTAAATTTAAAAATAATTTAATAGATTTTTTAACTTAATTTATTAATTTTTAAAATGTTTAATAATTTTTTTAATTTTTTAATTTGTATTTAATAAGTCCATGACACAATTCAATTTTTAATATAAAATTAAATTTTATAGTTAAAAATGATAGAAAAATTTAAATTTTAGAGATTTATTCAAATTAATAAATTAATTAAAATATATACCTAATTCATTTTCAATAATAAAATATATTAAATAATGTAATTAAGTGGTTATTAAAATTATTAATTATTTAATAATAGATAAATATAATAGTTTGTATTAATTATAAAAATTATTTTATTTTATCTACTTAAAAATATTAATGAAACTTTTCAAATTTTAATGATATTTTTTAAATAAAGTATTAATAGTTCCCTAACCTCATTTTATTTTAAATATTTTAATTGATTTCTAAAATTATATATAAAAAGTTTGTGAAAGCATAGGCAATGAGTTTGAGTTTTGAGTTTGATGCTTGCTCTAGCTAATACCAAAAGAACTTAGAACCGGAATAGACGCCAAGCTAATATGTCGATAGAGGAAGTTCCGGTGATAGACATTAGCTCTCAGAGCTTGAGCGAATCTAATGCAGATTCTTTACGTAGAGCGTGCAATGAATTGGGATTCTTCTTCATCAGAAACCATGGTGTTTCGATGGAGTTTTACCAGAAACTCATTTCTGGTGCCGACCAACTTTTTTCTTCTCTGGAGGAGACCAAGCAGAAACTGAAATTGGAAATTTCCTCGTACACCCCGAAATTTGTGTTGTCACCTTTCACGGAGAGCTTCAAGGTTTCGGGACCCAACTTCTCAACCTCTGCTGCTGCGTAGGGTTTCACTCAATCCGTGTTCGGCCACTAAGCTACTGAATTTAAGTCATCTTTCTTCCTCCTTCTTTCAAGTTGTCTAATAACCACCGAATACAAATTCAAAGTATTTATCTATTTTTATCACATATTTGACGATACGTATACCTTCTCCTAATTTGCATGTCATCTCGTTTATAGCCAAAATTATTCGAAAAAGTATACATTACGGGTGTTATACGGTCGGATCTATGATTGAGAAGCTAAAAATCATGGTTTCACCCCACATCGTACTGTTTAGAGGATGAAGATCATGTCGATTATAAATTTGAAAATATATTTTTCAATTTTGTGTCTTATAATCAACCTTTTTGATCCTCATCTTCTTTATTTGGAGTTTGTATGTTGGAGTTTATTTGCAGCAATCTTCTAGACGAATATGCAAGCAAAATGAAAGAGGTATCAAAAAGAGTAGTGAAGATACTACTAAACCTTCTCGGAGATAACATTGAAAACAAATTTTATGAACCCGAGTTCAGTAAATGCAATGGCTACATAAGGATAAACGGCTACTCTCCTCTAGACATGAACGATGAAGAAGAAGTCGAAGTGTTCAAGAAGCACAGCAACACCAGCTACATGACGATCCTATTCCAAAACAGCGTCGGGGGTCTACAAATGAGATCGAAAGGAGGCAACTGGATCGACGTAATGCCGAGCAAGGACGGTGATCTTGTGGTGAACGTTGGAGATTTTATGGAGGCTTGGAGTAATGGAAGACTAAGATTGGCCGTACATAGAGTTGTTTTGAAGAAAAATAATGAGAAGCGGTACTCTATGACTTTCTTTTTGACACCGGAAGATGATGACGAAGAAATATATAAGCGAAGTGAGATTGTTGGAGAAGGGAAATCAAGGCTTTATCACCTGTTTTCAACCCGACAATATCGGCTTTTTAAGGAAAAAAATTACGAGAAAATTGGAACAACAATTAAGGATTACATTGGAATATAATATTGTTGGATTATCTCTACGGTGTTGGGGACGATCCAATTATAATAAAAGTTTAAAATATTAAATAGTCGAATGTAATTTTTGGAAGAAAATAAATATTTTATTATTATTGAAAGAAAATGAAAATGTAGCTACAACAAAATTTGAATGGAGAAATGATAATGATTCGTTTCCAAATCATTTGAGCGTACATTTGGAAACGAAGTCTGTGAGCTGACTGATTAATGAGCAGAGCACTGTGAGGCAATTCTGGAAACAAATAAAATGCATGAATCATCTTCGGATATTCGATCAAATCCACTTTCTTTCCACTTTTCTTCAGCCATTCATAATATTTCCTCTGCCAATCCTTCAATGGATCGAATCCCCCCACAAACACAACCGTCGCCGGAAAATCCCCCAATTCCGAAATCTCCTCTGCCTTCGCCCCGCCCACGTTCGAAGCAGAGTGGTCTCGATCCGATCCTTCCGGCAGAAATGCCCTCCATAGACAATCCGTCCTCGCCACCGAAATGGTGTATTCTGGGTTTAATTGGATCTCGGATTGCGTCCGTTCCTGTCCGCCGAACAACGGTTGAATCGATACTAATCCGATGATGTTGGCTCTTTGGAATTGTGATTTTTGGTGGGAGAATCGGACGGCTACGTGGTGAGCGAGATTGGCGCCGGCGAGGAAACATTTGGAGAGATCGGCGGTTGGAGGGAGGAGGCCGATGGTGTTGTTTTCGTGGTCGAGGAATTGGAGGACGTCGAAGCCGTCGTCGTATTGGGAAGGGAAGCGGTGTTCGGGAGAGAGGCGGTAGTTGACGGAGAGGACGACTGCGGGTATGCAGCGGGCGAAGCGGCGGCAGAGGGTGACGTAGGAGAAAGAGGCGTTGCTGAGAAAGGAGAAGCCGCCGCCATGAAAGAAGATGAGGATGGGAAGAGAGATAGCGTTGGAGGAAGGGGTAAAGACGCGGATGGAGAGGTTGCGTGAGGAATCGACAATGACGTCGAAGGAGACGACGCCGTGGATAGGCTTGACGGGATTGGCGGCGGATTTGATATCGAAGAGGCATAGGAGGCAACGGTTGACGGTGCCATTGGGGCGAGCGGCGAGGTCGAAGCAGACGGAGGAGAAGGAAGCAAGGAGGCGGGTTTTCAATCGGAGAGAGGGGGATTTGGCAATGGCGGCCGTGGAGGGCGGAGGAGGCGGTGGAGGACGATTTCGGGAGGGGATAGCCATGGGGGGGTTGACTGAATTAGCAGGGGAAATCAATGAGAGAAGGATGGGAGATAAGGCCTGGTCCGCCATGGCTGATGAGCTGTGTGAGCTTTTTCTCTTTCATTTATTGCTTTTCTTTTTACAGCTAACATTTTTCAAACTCCAACCCTAACCCTATTTTTGATTCATACTTCGGGTTGGCGTCCAAATCGAGTTCCAACTATAGTTCATGCGTCTGACTCCAAAAAAAAGAACTTCATCACATTGATTGTTCGATGATAGGTTCGCACTTTTTACAGGCTCAATTATCCTTGATGTCTGATTGATTTATGTATGCCACTGCTCGTAGACCTCATCATCAAACATTGTAGTAAGATTAGAGGATAATCGGATCATTCACCTTGCCTAATGCGCATTGTTGATGTTGAAAGGAGGGTTGGGAGATGATTGCTTAAGCAAAGGGAAGTGGAAAATATAAGGATGAGCTGAAATTAATGGATAGCTTTCTTGTTTTGTTGGTGAAGTTCCTAGGTTGTTCTTTGGCCCTTAGTTACCATACACTCTACACCTACCAACTAATGCATTGTTCCTTTCTACTTCTCGCAACATTATCTCCCTCGAACATTAAGGTTAATCGTGTCGGTTGATCGTATAAAACACTTCCTAATCCAAAGGTTTCCTACTCTTCTTTGCTCCATCATTCACGTATACATGGATGCTACCATTCATAATCATACCTTCAATCACATGACTTTGAATACGGATAGAACCCAAATGTATAGAAATCTAAAAGATAATGAAGTTACAACACAACTCCCCAAGTGTACAAAGTACTTGAACCTTCCCTTCTTGAGTCCTTATTCCTCCAAATTTCCTCCTTACCCACTCCCCAAATGCCTACGAAGCATTCTTTATAGGGGTGTGAAAACCTCTCCCTATCAGACACGTTTTAAAACTGTGAGATTACATAACGAGCCAAAGTGGACAATATTTGTTGCGGTAGGCTTGAGCAGTTACAAATGATATCAAAGCTAGGTGGTGCCAGCGAGGACACTGGCACCCAAGGGGGTGGATTATGGATTATGATATCCTGTTGGAGAGGAGAACAAAGCATTCTTTATAGAGGTGTGAAAACCTCTCCCTATTAGATGTATTTTAAAATTATAAGGCTAACAGCAATACATAACGAGCCAAAGCGGACAATTAAACTTAGACTGTTACAGCCTAACTTCCTCTCAAGTCCAAATGTATTGAATACTGATAGAACCCAAATGTATTGATATCTCGAGTCCTCATTCACTCACCAAATGCCTAACTTCCTCCGTACCCACTCCCTCCATCATCAGTAACCAAATACCACAACAAAGTTCCTAACCAATTTCTAATCTATCCATAACAGCATTTATATCAAACATGCAGAAGATATAAATCTAGCCTCACATTACTTACAAATGAATAAGATCATATATACAGAAATAAGAACAACTTTATTGGCATATCAACCTCTAAAATAGAATTCCAAAGTAAAGTCACATATGGTCTAGCTCAAAAGTAGACAATATACGAAGAGGGTCATTCCCATTTCTCATAACAATATACACAAAAAGCCATTCAAGGTAAATGTTACAATGACACTAACCTTAAAATCTCAACTTCACAGTTTAAGGCCTTGAACACAGCCTCCTGTGCTAATACATATTAAACTACCCTAAACTCAAAAGCTAATGTGCTAATACATATTAAACTACCATTAAACCCAAAAGCTTAAATTAAGAGTTCAAACCATAGTAGTGATCACTAAACTCTAAAACACTTTAAGCTGATAGGTGAGGGTATATTCATATTCTTTAACATTGCGCAGCTGAAATAAGCTCAAATAGAGTGCAATGGAGGTCAAGGGAAACCAACAGAGGGCAGCTCAAGAATACGTGTAACGAACAATAAGCAAAAGAGAAGCATATATATATATATATATAAATCATCGTGGATTAAGCATTCAATCAATGCAGAAAAGCATAGATAGCAGTGGAAATATAGACCAAAAGAGCAGAGGTAACCAGAACAAGAAGCGCAGTCACAGCATGAACCGCGGACTTGCTTCCACAGGACAGCATTCCAAGGCGAATTTGGATGACATTCACCATGGACAGCATCAGAAACAAGCAACCCATGACCGATCCAACGGCGGAAGCCAACATCCCTAATCTCAGCACCTTCAGATTGATGTGTGCCCTAAACGCCTCATCCACATCCTTACTATTCAAAAGATTAATGGCAAGCTTCAAACCCTGCGCCACAAGAGACGAGAACAGAAAAAAGCTAAACGACACGACCTCGAAAACCAGAAGCTTCCGAGCGACGTCAATGCCAGCATCGCAGACCGAGGAATTCTGGAGACTATGCTGCCCAGGCGTGGTCAACGAAAGCCCTACAAATACAGCGATGGTGAAAAGTGAATTGACGTTGACGAGACCGTCCAGTGCCGTAACGTGGACACTGGTGGTCGACGAAGAAGACAACGCCGATGAAGTACGGATTCCATCTGCTCTGCTCCGATCATTGTAGTACTCCTTAGGGTACGTCTCGGATCTGATCAGAAACAGGAAAATGAGCTGAAAATGAAAAGAAAAAGAAGGGGGAATCGAAGAGAAATTGAGCTTACTCGTCCATTGAAGGCGGAATTTGGCTATGGCGGATTGAGTATTGAGAGAAGGGGAAGAGAAGCTGGCGGGTGGGGATTGGATTACTTGGAGGGATTGAAGTTGGGGAAGTTTTTGGAAGAAGCAAAAGAAAGGGTGTATGGAAGTGAAAGAGATAGCGTTTGGTTTGGGTTTGTGCCTGTGCTTATGCATCTTTGTCAAGCTTTTCAAACTTGGATCCATTTTCTTGGTCATTTCTCGTCGATTTCAAGCTCGAGTCAATGTCATTTATCATTCGGATATCTACATTTTCATGAAGTTCTTATGGCTAGTTGTGGGCGAGGAGGGATTCGAACCCCTTGATACTAGGGTTCATCGCTATGTGTTCTAATCCTTTAAGCTACAAGCTCAACCCCGTTCTCCATTAGATTTGTTCTCGAGGTATCTAAGACAATTTCTACCCATATTTATTGATATTTCCAACGAGCGAAGAAGGAAATGAGAACTGAAAACAAGAAGAAAAGAAAATGAGCAAAAACGAGAGACTAATAACCATAGTCTTTTTCAAATAATGTTTCATGGGAAGACCACTCCTGGTCGATCGACGGTCGCTGACCTTTGACCAAATATGTCATTAAATTGATTGACCAACCTCCTTGGTTTGCTAACGGCGAACAGGTCCAATAAATTGACCTTCTTGATTTTTTTTTTTTTTTAGAGAAAATATGCTTAAACCAACTGAATTATGGTCAAGTTGGTAAATAGTAAAAGTAAAAATACATAATAATAACATAGATGAACAGGGTCCCAAATAACTATAAAAAACAGGTCTAGGCCAACTCCTCGATCTTAGACGTGCATCAATAGTCTTTGACCTAAGAACAAGAGATTCTCACTCTGGCTAACGGACTAGCCGACCCATGAATGAGGTGGGAACGAACTTCCCAAAAATATTGCTCAGGACCATAGTCTGTATAGGATGAAAAGGACGACCCAATATTCTTGAGTTAATTTGTATGACTTGAGCGTTCTTCGGCTAAAAGCTTTAGATCAAATTCTTGTTGTTAAGTGCAATAGAATCATATGAGCTTACTAAATTCACTAACTAGAACAATAAGTTACTTTTTCTAGCACTCTACCGATTGAAGTTAAATACCTCGATTGATATCTGTTCATAGATACCGCGTTAATACAAATAAACCTCCGTATTTTTCATTCTTCCTTCCTTTCTTTTGAAGTTCGTGGAATATGCTAGTGGTCGATCCAATTGTTGAATCCCAGTAGTGGAACCATCCACAAGATCTTCAGCAAAATCATACCAACTTTTTTAATTTCAAGAACAGTTCCTTTTGACAAAATCTGTTGCTTATACTTCAAAATTAGTTCTCGCCGTCAAAAACCCACTTCTCCAATCGATCCAATACCATAACCATCTAAACAAAAAATTCAGGGTTCTCACAGTTCATCGGCAAGATTCTACGCCGTTGCATCTCTTCATCGTTTCAATGAGCGAAGGGGAAGAGATTTCAGTGAAAATCCACAGAATCCGACTCCCGTTTTGAGCCCAAGTCCACTTCAAACTTCAAGTATTTGCTCAGTTCAGTAGCGCGTCATCAGTTTTCTTCATTTAATCTTCGATTTGTGTGTAAAGCGCTGTCGACGGATTAGGAGTGTTTCTATTCAGTGAGTAATCATAATTCTGTTTTTGGGGTTTCGTTTTGTCATTCATTCTATGGTACTTTGCTGCTTGGATCCTGAAACGTTTCTAATTTACCGAATCTTTGATGTTGTTCTATCTAAGTTCATGCCCTAATCTGGCCGCTAATTGAATTTTCCCACATGTCGACTCTTGGGGTTGATTAAAGAGTAGGGCAGATTGTTGAAACTAGGCTGCATTTTCATTGTTCTACATAGTTGATTGATGTTTGTAGTACTATCTAGTTGGAGAATTGCTATATACTTGAATTATTTCACTTAGGTTCTTGATACTGATTCAAAAGAATGGCAATGGTTCATGTTTCACTTAGGTTCTCTATTGATTGATGCTTTTCTGATTGTTTTTCTTTTCCTGCTGTTTGAAGGAATGAAGTTACCTGTCATCCAGGTACAGCAGTGTCGATTTTTTTTTGTTCTTGTTTGTGTAAACTTCTTTGTGCTTCACATCGTGAGTTGATGGAGTCAAACATGATCAAAAGCTTGTGTTGGGAAGTTTTCTTATCAATATGGCTTCTTTGAGATGAGTCCAATCATGGGATAAGATAGAAGAGTCGATTCTTTCTTATTTCCTTTTTTTAGTTTGAATGAATGGAGGATACCCGTGAGATCCCACATCGATTGGAGAGAGGACCAAGTGCCAACGAGAATGTTGGGCTCCAAAGGAGGTGGATTGTGAGATCCCACGTTGATGGGAGAGGGGAATGAATGTTAGCGAGGACGCTGGACTTTGAAAGGGGGTGGATTGTGAGATCTCACATCGGTTGGAGAGGGGAACAAAACATTCTTTATAAGAGTGTGGAAACCTCTCCCTAGCAAACGTATTTTAACAACCTTGAAAGGAAGCCCAAAAGGGAAAGCCTAAAGAGGACAATATCTACTCGCGGTGGGCTTGGGTTGTTACAATATCTCGTGCTCAAATCATTGTTGCTTTATGCTTTTATTTATTTTTCAAAAGTTATATTTCCATATTTGACTTGATATTTGAAAAAGGGTACTTTGCAATCTGGAAGAGGTTACACTTGCTTTCAAATGTGGACAATATAATAAATACTGCAATTGGCCTAGATTGATTGAGAATCATAACTAATAAAGAAATTCGAGAGTGTACTGGTTATAATATCGTTTCCTGTACGCTTTAAACTCGTTTGCAATGTTAGTAATGTTGATGAACGTGTTGCAGTGAATTTAGACGACGGATCAGGGCCAGCGCACAACGCTATTGAGGTTAACATACATGCAGCTGAAGGAAATGTGATTTTGGAGCCATATGTGGGTATGGAGTTTGATTCCGAAGATGCTGCCAGAAAATTTTATGCTGAATATGCCAGACAAATGGGGTTTGTTGTACGAATCATGCAGCGACGTCGTTCTGGAATTGATGGAAGAACGCTAGCTCGGAGGCTTGGATGTAACAAACAAGGTTTCTCTCCCAATCATAGAGGGATTTATGGATTGGATAAGAAATCACGGCCTAGTGCACGTGAGGGCTGCAAGGCAACGATTTTGGTAAAAATGGAGAAGTCTGGAAAATGGGTCGTTACTCGATTTGTGAAGGATCACAATCATCCCTTAGTTGTTTGCTCCAATGGTTTCAACAGCTCGGTGAGTTATTCTGATTCTCTAACATATGTTCTATGCTTCATGTTTGACAAGAGGACTGTGTTGAATTAGATGCTGTGATACCATGCAAAAGGTTTCTTTGTTTCTTTGTTCATTGATTTTCTTTGAGTTAGAACATGTGGGGTGGGGTGAGGACGGGGAGGATTTGAGACCTCCCCTTACTCCTTAGGATCACTCACGACGTTTCATGCCAAGTCGGTTACCTTCAGAACCAACCCTTGTGACCGAATAACTCGATACTAAAATGAACATCCTTACTTTTACGATACGAGATAGAAGGATATATATCTAGGGGATTCGAGAGTTCTCCTTACTCCCCGTGATCGCTTACCAAAAGTCCATCTCTCTCCATATAGGAAGTGTGCTAAATAGTCATAGCCACTCACGACGTTCCATGCGAAAGTTGGTTCCTTTTGCAACCATCCCTCGTGCCCAAATAGCTCTAATAATAAACTGAACCTCTTTACTCTAACCGGGCATAGAGGGATATGTAACCAAGGGAAGATTTGAGAGTTCCCCATACTCCCCATGATCACTTACCAAAAGTTAGCCCTTCTCCGTACCGAAAGTACGCTAGACAGCTATAGCCACTAACAATGTTCCATGTCAAAGTAAGTTTGTGACGGTCCAAGCCCACCGCTAGCAGATATTGTCCTCTTTGGGTTTTCCCTTTCGGGCTTCCCCTCAAGGTTTTTAAAACGCATTTGCTAGGGAGAGGTTTCCATACCCTTATAAAGAATTCTTCGTTCTCCTCCCCAACCAACGTGGGATCTCACAATCCGCCTCCCTTCAGGACCCAGCATTCTCATTGGCACTTGTTCCTCTCTTTAATCAACATGGGATCTCACAAAGTTACTTTTGCAACCATCCCTTGCAACCGAATAGCTCTAAAGACTAAATTGAACATCTTTACTTTTACGGACAGGAAATGTAGGGAAACATGACTAAGGGAAGATTTGAGAGCTCCCCATACTCCCTATGATCACTAACCAAAAACACCACTCTCCACACCTGCTAAAACCTTTACTTGACTAACCCTCATTCAACCGCAGCTGATGTACATTTATAAGGCAGCTCCACTCCCTTCCATTAAATAGAGAGGTTTCTCCCAAATGTTTACCAAGAAATCGTACATTTTTTTATTGTTTAGACAAAAGTTATATGCACATTTTAGAACCAAGAGAAGATTTAAGTAAATAAATAAAGGAACAACCTGAGCTGCTCAACTGGTCTAAGGCATATAGGGGTGAACTTTTGGAAGGGATCTTGGAGAGTGAGGGGGAGCTCTCTAATCTTCCCCGGGATATGTATCCCTCTATTTCCTATCCATAAAAGATGAAGATGTTCTTTTTTTAATATTAGACGGTGATAGGGGATAGTTGTAACAGTCCGAGCCCCCACCACTAGTAGATATTGACCTCTTTGAGCTTTTTCTTCAAGGGCTTCCTCTTAAGGTTTTAAAATGCATTTACTAAGGAGATGTTTCCACACCCTTATAAGGAATGTTTCGTTACCCTCTCCAATCAACATGGGATCTTACAATCCACTCTCAGTGTCTTCGCTGGCACACCATCCGGTGTCTGTCTATGATATCATTTGGAACAGCCCAAACCCACTGCTAGCAGATATTGTCCACTTCGAGCTTATCTCACATCGATTGTGATGAGACAAATTTATCAATCTGGAATAGTAGTAAATGGATGGTTCTATCCTTATCTGATGTCATTGTGGTTGAGGAATTGCTACCTATATCATTGATCTTGGGGTCTGTCAAAGTTGATTGGACATGACTAATGGAATTTTGGGTAGAAGATTGGAGGACCCAAGTCTACAAGCTCTGGTATTACTCAAGTCTAACAAGCTGTAACTGGAAGTTCGTGGAAAATTATGGAATCATCGACTTTTCTTTAATCGTAGAACTTAAAAAGAAAGATTTTCAGTAGAACGAGACGAGCATAGAACACCCATCTAACAAAAATCTGGCATGACATCTACTTGAATTGTTGAGATTGCCAATTTTTTGCTTAGCCTGTGGTTGTAGAAATGCTTCAGGAATTGAAGTAGCGGTAGTACTCTCTACCCACTGCATAAAGCTGGTTACGAATGTGTGTGATTAATGTTGCTTTAAGTATGCAGACATGAATCTACTTCCTTTATGTATTATATTTCAAGTTCTTGGTATATTTAAGAACTGAATTGACATCGACACTGACGCTTGCAGGGCGATAAAGATAAGAAGATCGAGGAACTTAAAACGGAGTTGGAGCATCAGGAGCAACTATGCATAGCTTATAGGGAAAAGCTTTTCAATTTTATCTCCAAGGTGGAAGAACAAACAGAAGAACTGTCTTCAAAAATACAAGTGATCATCAGCAATCTCAGGCAAGTTGAATCTGGAATACAAAAACATTATCCATGTCGTCGTCCACAATAGTAAATAGAGTTTAAAATTTGAGTCTCAATAATCTTCTATTTAGGAATGTATAGTAGCCATTGATGTGTTGAACTGAAGATCAGAGTCTTGGACTCTATTATACTTGTTAGTTGCAATCAAAGCGTTATGATTTATGAGTTTCATAGCGTTTTTCGGTTATATATTCATCTAAGAAGTTCGCCTAGAGTGAACATAGCTCAAGTAACTGATAAGCTTGTAACGATTTAATCCATTTACTTTCGATTGAAACAATTTTGTTCGGTTTAAAATCAATACAAAACATGTCTTTGATCTCATTCAAATTCAATTTTATGACTAAAATTGACTTTGAATGACAAAACGATTGTTTTCAGATCGTTAACAAGTATTGAATTACAATGAATCCCTACTCTTTGATGTTGTTTTAATTATTGAGTTATCTATTACTCATGTCGGGTTACTATATGTAATTATGCCTAATTCAAAGTTCAAGAATGTAACTTAAAATATAATCTCTAAGTTGAGTTGTTACAGTTGATGTCGGACCTACCAACATCTGCAATATTTTATATAAGAGAAGTTGAAAATCACTTCAAAATTCTGTTTCATCATTCTCTTTCGATTCTAAACATAAATCATACAATAGTTAGAACTAAATTCAAACATTTGTCGATAAAGATTATCAACTTGTTAATCTAGACGACCATCTATCTAACCCTCCAACATTACCAAAAATTTTGAAATTCAAATGAAGCGAAGAGCAAGAGCGGTTGTGTTGTGAGATGATGAGATGCTAATTACAGGACTCGTTAGCGAAGGCAAAGCGTTGAGATTGAAGAGCAGCAGCCTCTTTAGATACCAATGCTTTGATGAGCAATGTTTTCACCTCCCAAGCTGCGTATGGGAAATCCCTTCTTGCATACGAATTCAACAGTGCTGCGGTTGCCTCCTTCACTACTCTACCAAACGCCTCCTCTTCCTCTTCCTCATCTGCCAATGCCACCGTCGCCGCCGCCAGTAATGTCATCTCAGATCCGTACCGTTCGTGAGCTCTCGATCCGAAAATCTTCGCCACCGTCGCCGATTCCGGCGCCATCCGAGGCCAAGCCTCTCTCCTACTACTCCAAAACCTGGGCGCCTCAAATAATCGAACCATTCTCAGTCCGATCGATTACGTAAAAGAAAAAAAAAAAAAAGCTTATGCGTCGATGTGTTTGTGAAAATGTCTACGAGAAAATCTCAATCGATTTAGAGCTAATGAGAGGATTTCGACCTAACTCTGCAGCCTCTCAGAAGAATTAGTGTGTTTGAACGTGTATTTTTTAGAAAAAGGAAATGGAGATCTTACTCTGGAGTGCATCTTCCTCTGGTTCTTGAGAAGAGAAATCCAGGACGGCGCGATAATGCAGCTTCTCCTGCGGCGGCGGTGGCGAAGTAGAGAAGGAGAAGATAACTGAGTAAGCGAAAAGTCTCCATCGTCTTGGTCTCCGATTTGGGGGAGTGTTTTCTTTGGATTTCTTCAAGAAAGTTACAAAAACTTCGTCCCGCTTTTGGGCACTGCAAAAGTGGGGATGGGATCTTTGTGAGATTTTAAATTGTTTACGATGAACTGGACCAATATTTTGAATTTTAGTTTTTGATTTATCTACTAAAATATTTATATCTATAGATCAATTTTATAAACAAAAATTAATTTTTTATTACCGTATTCAAAAATTAATTTTTGATTATTCATCGTATTTTGTGTTCTTCATCGAAAGTTCTAATCTAAGCTTAATAGTTGATTTCAAATGGAGGGTTCTACGGTACAGAACTCTTCTAATATCATATCAACTTGTATCCTTATCTGCTAACTTGAGATCGTGCTCAGATTAACGTGCTAGTACTACCAACTCCGCAAATATCTAACTAGATTGTGAATGTGTTGTAAAGCTCCCACGTCATTGTTCTAACAAAAGTAACAATGTTTGATCTATTTCAACTTCATATAGTATATGGTTTTGATATCAACAAACCTGCATGAATCAACGTAGTCCGACAAATGAAGAACTATCAAGCAAAACAACTCGACTTCTTGTGAGAAAATGATTGCCTGTTCTAAGATCTACAAACCTATATGAACCTAAGATTAAAGATAGTATAGAGAATGGAGAACTACCATGCAAAACGACTTCCCACTCCATCGAGAAAACGATCAGTATGCCACCCTTTGGCCTGAAGTTCAGATACGAACGGAGTGAACACATCGTTCATCTTTTCGTAAGCCTCGAGCAACACGCTGGCAGTTGGCTCATGAGAAGGCCCTTTTATGTTTGCAGTATATGCAGCTACTAGCCATCCCCGTAATGCATCCTCGCCTGAGGCATCATGCTCCAACACCATGTCAACCCATTTGTGAGTTTGGTTCAAAACAAATTTCTCCTCGGGGAACATTTGTTTCATTTCAACAAGTCTTGATGGCTTAATAACCTCATGTAAAGCCCTTCCTACTTTTACACTTCCAGCATCCTCTATGAGTCTTCCAGGAAAAACAAGATCTTCATGGTACCTTAGGTCAGCGGGACTCGGTATCCTTCCCGACTTAACGAAATCAGCAACGATCATTGCCGTCCTCTGTGGATTCAATGTGTTTATTGGAGTTGCTCGCATTTGCTCTACAACGCAATAGACATGTACAATTGAAAGGAGAGGGGCTGCAACTAACTGCAAGGAATAGAAATTAAAACCAACTGAAAAAGGTACTCACATCGAGTCGAATGTATCTCATGCTTGAACCAGATTTAGACAAATGATAAGCAAGATAAAAAAGGTTAACAAACGAGCCCACCGCTAACAGATATTATCCATTTTAGCCTGTTACGTATTATCATTAGCCTCACGGTTTTAAAACGCGTCTGCTAATGGGAGGTTTCCACACCCTTATAAGGAATGTTTCATTCCCCTCTCCAACCAATATGGGATCTCAAAATCCACCCCCTTTGGGGGCCGCTTGATATCTGGCTCTAATACTATTTGTAACAGCCTAAGCCCACTGTCAGCAAATATTGTCCGCTTTAACCCGTTATGTAACACCGTCAGTTCACATTTGCACATTTTTCTCATGTCCATATTCAGTCGTTTCCTCAACACAAAAAATACCATTCCCCAAGAGTTCAGGATCAGTGTCTACTATAAGCCTACCAAAAAATGCAGAAAACAGAGTAATACCACTCGACAATAATTGAAAAATGCATTAGTATCAGAGCCAGATATCAAGCGGTGTGAAAAATGCATAAATTTATCACCAGTTTATTTTTGTATCTTTTTATAACTGTGAAAAATGCATAAGAACGTAGGGAAAAAAATCAACTGACAGTGGAAATTCAAGGGAACCTACCTTTCCTTGTATTGATGAACAAATAGTTGACGCTAATTGTAGCCCAGCTCCAATTCCAACAACATTGAAGAGAGTGGAGATGGCTTCCCCTTTGGCAAAAAGGTCACTAAGATTGCCTTCTTTAGCAAATGAAGAATATATTGGTAATCTTGTTGCTCTTGCAGCAACTACAGCCATTCCCTAGCCAGCCCCAGAAAAAGCAGAATAGAAATTCAAAATCACAAAATAAAGAAGATTCTTGTAACTCGGAAACTAGAACGGGCGATTACGGATAATACTTCAAACAATTTGCTGATGAGTGAAGTAACTTGAACCTTTGCAAAGTTGCCTAGGCCGGCCATTTGAAGAAAAAGATGAGGGCATAAGGGAGAAATAACTTCCAAGCCAGCACCAAAGTCATAGAGGACATCAGCTACAGCATAAAATCAGATCGTTTTTTAGAAGCGAGGGTCACTTGTCACTTAAAAAAACACGCGTGCACACACACATGATGCGACTCCAAGAAACAACATAATGTCTGTATGGAAATGCTATCTTAAAATGAATAACAAATTGATACAAAGATGCATACCTATAACTCTCCACCTTTTAGGCTCTGAATCCATTCTTGTACCTAAATTGCTGCATATGAGTTTGCCAACATGTTGCATCCCATCCTTTAAAACCTTCCAGGAAGAAAAAGGATAAAATTATTTATTAAGAAACAAGGAAAAAAAGTTGATGAATAATTGAAGAACAGAAGAAGAAAAAAGAAAGAGAGAAGTATGTCACCAAGCATACGGATCCATAACAAACAATTGTTGAACTTACCCAACTAACAACAGTAGCCTGTGCCGCTGTTGGCCTCAAGCCTGCAGCAAACAGCAGTGACTGAACAGAATTAAGAACTTATATCAATGACCACCATTCTATCATTTGAAGCTGACAGGTAATTATCATATTACTAATGTTAAGAATTATTATGTAATCATAATGCAATACCAAAGATGGAAAGATATGGATAAAAACCTGAGTTGACAGCACTGACAAAGCTGCACTAGTAACATGTTGCAATGCTCGAAATTGTGTATACCTCAAATATCCTTCATTGACACTGTCAGGTACGACAGGCAATAATCAAGTAGCTAACAAAAGGCACTTGTTCATTTACTGCTATAATTGTAACAGACCAAGTCCACCGCTAGCAGACATTGTCTTCTTTGGGTTTTTCCTTTCGGGTTTTTCCTTACGGTTTTAAAACGCACCTGCTAGAGAGAGGTTTCCACACCCTTATAAAGAATGTTCCGTTCTCCTCCCCAACTGAGGTGGAATCTCACAATAACTCTTTCAATTTATTATAAATACAACAGTCCTCCACCTTACTTGATTGGTGGTGAGAATTATGCAAATCTTGGTGTAATTGTTTTGACTAGTGACAATAAATCATGCAGCTTACCTGTATGGATATCCTGAGGGAAAAAATGTACTGAGGAAGGAATCAACAACACGTTGAATTGCTGGTCTTGAGTCATCAATAATCTTCACCTATAGAAATCAATTTCCTTTTTCATATTAGCATCCAATTTGAAGGTTACACAACTGGGAAAAAAAAAACCATTTCCTAATTTTAACTTCAAAACGATCATGGTTGAATCAGAAATATTGTTGTATACTTCAAAATAATTTCCCTTCATCAATCACTCCTCGTATTCTATTTTCCCAAAGCAAGAGTTTGACCTTTTTAGGTATTTTCCTCTTCCAAATTCCTTTCACTTAGGTCTGTTTTAACAACCTACTTTAATCCAACCATTTCGAAGAGGATTTCCTTTTTCTTTCCTTGGATAAGAAACTAAGCTTTCATTGAAAAAAAAAATGAAAGAATATACAATGGCAACAAATATCAAGCCTACAAAAAATCCCTCAACAACCTATAAGAACGGGCTCAAATCTGAAAGAAGAAGAATAAGATGATAATTACAAAAAGTATGACGAACAAACCCCCACAAACAGGCTTTAGACCCCCCCCCCCCCCCCCCCCCCCC